TCGTCCACCTTGGTCCTGTACCACTGGCATTTCGACAGTGAGATTTTAGCACCAGCAGTAGTCAGTTGATTCAGAACGTGGTCGATCTCAGCCAAGTGTAAGTCCAGTGTTGGCTGCCTTAAAAGGACATCATCCACGTAGATCAGTGTCCCACATTCGTGGGCATCTGGACATGCTTTATTCAAAAAGATGTTGAACTCAGCTGGTGAGTTAGCGTAGCCAAAGGGGTACCTGGTGAAGGTGTATTGTCGGCTACCTAAAGTGAAAGCTAGTTTGTGTTGGTCCTCTGCGTGCACAGGAATGGTCCTAAAACCAGAGGCGACGTCGAGGGTGGAAAAGTACTTACCATTGGTGACCTTGGGCAGTTCCTGTTGGATCTGGGTCATTGGCCACCTAGATAAAGGAACTTGTTTGTTTAGCTTTCTGTAGTCTATGGTAAGTCTCCACTTACCATTTGGTTTCAAAACTGGCCATAAAGGTGCAGAGTAGGTGCTATTACATTATCTGATTATGCCTTTATCTAAAAGGTCATCAATGATTTCCTTGACAGGTTGATGTGCTGCCAGGGGAATCTTGTATTGTCTGTCAAATGTAGGCGGTGAGTTTGGCGGAGTTGGGATGCTCACTGTGTGGAGCGAGGTCAACCCACAATCCATTGAGTCAGTTGAGAATGACTTCTCATATTTCATGAGAACTTGGCGGAGTTTATCCCTTTCTTCATCAGTCATCAGGGCGTCAGCTAGGGTGACCACCTGTTCAATCTGTGAAGAGATTGCTAAGGGTTCTTGATGTTTGGGGGGCTCCAGTGAGTCCCTTTCTGTGTCGCTAGACCGGTCTATAGGTAAGACACTATAGGTTTGAGGTCCTAAATCGACATCATTGGTTGAGAAGAGAGATATGGCCTGTGTTGGTTTCGTGGACCAAACTGGACCAGTCTCTTGACTCGATACCAGGTTGTCTGGGAGTCCTCCCAGAAATGGAATGCCAAGTTCAAAATCATGAAAATCTGTGGAGATCAACCATCCTAGCCTTGTGTTTCTCGGGATCAGTACCTCCTCTGTGCCTGTGTTGGACACAGCAACAGATGTGGTTCTGGAGTCGAGGCTCACTTGACTTGCGGCCTCAATGGACAGTCCTGGTTTGAAAAGCGTAGGAGATGGTTGAAAGTACGCCTGTTTAAGGCTAATAACTTGCTCCGCCACGATGTGGACCCATACCATTAAGTTTGTCACCTGAGGTGGTACCGAGGTGTTTTGGTTGGTAGCAACCTGGCAGACCTCTCCCTTTACCTGCAGTGTGGATAATGCACCCAGTGATGTTCAGCTGGAACTCATCGATCTGCAGTCTGATGCAGTACTGGCAGAGCTCTTTAAATCAGGATCTCTACTGGATTTCTACTCTTCTCTCAAAGAGGAGAACTTTCCAAACATGAAGAGACATGCTCAGAAGATGTTGGTTCTCTTTGGCTCTACCTACATATGTGAACAAACATTTTCAATGATGAAGTTCACGAAATCCAGGTACAGATCATCTCTCACTGACGATCATCTGTCAGCTGTGCTTCGCATCTCCACCTCAGACATTCAACCTGATTTTGATGCACTCGTTAAAGCCCAGGAGAGACTAGATTTCTCTCACTGAACAAGAAAAAACAACTTAAAAATGTAAGAAGTTTTAAATGATGTTTTGATGGTTGAGTTGTGCATGATTTTAATTGTATTGTGGTTATTTTTATTTGCACATGTTGTGTGTTTTCATGATGTTGTTTTAGGGATTTATTGCCATTCCCATTGTTTTGGGAAATTCGCTTGAATAAATTACATTTTTTTGGAAGGCAACCTCATGTTTTCATTGCTTAATTATAACATATACTCTTACCAGCTTGTCAAAACAATGCTATTTACAGATTTTATAAAGAAATAGAGTTAATATTATGCAGAATTGAGATCAGCCTTTTGGCCGGCCCTCCACAATATTTTCTGTTTCTCATGTGGCCCCATGGAAAAAATAATTGCCCACCCCTGCTCTAACGTCACTAGAACCACCCCCTGTTAGTTGTTTCAACCAATCAGGAAGTCCTGAAGTGACCGGAAGTGAGAACTCTTTAAGAGTCCACACTTCTTGGAACTTCTCAGTCTTCAGTCAGTCTTCAGTCTTCAGTCTTCTGAGTCGAGTTGGGACTATGGAGTCTTCCACATCTGAGTGGAACTTCTGACGGAGTCACAGTGCCTTGCTGTGAACCCTCCCGGGCATAATGCCCTACAACCTCGAAGGAAGCTGTTTCTGTTTAACGGAGTAACCGGCACGACTCCTTTTCCTGCCCAGCCACTGCCCGGAGACGCTGTAAAAGGATCGTACTAATGAACTCCTGTTCCTGAGCAGAGGTATCCCCGTCTAAGGTAACAAAGTCTCTGCACGTCCTGAAGTGTACCGGAGAGTTGAGCTGGTGTTGAAGGGAGCGTGCCATTCTACGGTCCGAACAGACACACCCTTTCCTTCATCCATCTAAATCCTCCTCTTTAAACCTCTAAATCTCTCCTCTTGTAAACTCTTCTATTTTGCCAGTAATTAATCTAGATGCCTTCAGAAATGTCTGTTGTTTTTATTAAGTAAAACGTGCCAAGTTTTATTAATCAGAACCAGATCAGCTAATCACTTGTACATTTTGATGTTAAATTTTGATTCTGTTAAATAAATGACCACATTTATTCTGATGGGTCAAAGAAAATTAACGTCTCAGTGTCACTGATTAAACAATCTACGCACAGTTACCTCGGTCACATGGCAGTAATTTAGCTTGAAAAAGAGAGAACCCGTGTATTTAAATATATTGTAGTCAAGGGCAGCTAAGCTAGCCCTTAGCACGCTACTTGATCACCTGAGTTCCCAATCGTCAATCAAAGCATTCAGTTGTATTTGTCCTGTTCAGCGATGTCCCGGACAACCAGAACCTTTGCTTCCTCCGGAGCTCCATTCAGTTTAATGAAGATCTTACAATTTGTTGTCCATGTTGACTGAATCTTTTTCTGCTTTCTTAGAAACCGGGCCTTTCTGGCAATGTCAGCATTCTTCTTAGTCAAGTGCTCATTAATAAATACGTTCGATCCTTTCAACAATCTGCCTTGTTTTAACAAAGAAAACTTGTATTTCCTATTTGTGAATCTCATGATAATGGCAGGTTTATCTTCTTCTCCCCTTCTCGGAAGCGGGTGGCATGCTTCCACAGAGTCACAGTACACTTCTATCCCCTTGGTCCGGAGGAAAGAAGCCACTTGTTTCTCTCTGGCGTCAAGCACTTCAACTGATGGTTCACCAGCAGGACTGGGTGCAGCAACTGCGTTAGCATACGAACAGGGCTTGACTCTAAGTCCAGTGATGATCACATCAATTATCCTATTGTATTGCTCCAAGTTGGCTACTCGGTTCTCCAGTACAGCGATCCGTTTGTCCTTTTCCTCATTAAGAAGTCTCAACAACTTCACTTCTTTTACCAGGTCCAAAATGTTTTTTGATGGAGCCGTATAGTTGCCACTTCCTCAGAAAGAAAGTCCAAGGAATTCTTAATGTCATCAAGATCCCCCGATGCTTGAGTCTTCTTAGGTCCCATTCTCTTACAATTATACTTTTAGTCTTGATGTTTGCTTGCTTAGTTTCTTTTTAAATCATATTTATAAGAAAAGCTACGTACACACTGAACAGGCCAGAACAAGCCACATCATCACAAGGAAAGTTCATCACTCATTCCTTGTTTTGCTTTTGCTTGTGGGAAGTGAGCTCCACTGCTAGCAGCAGCTAGGGCCGAAGTTAGCTTCTGTTAGCCCCAAGTTAGCTTCTGTTAGCTTTGTGGGAAGTCTGAATTTCTTCAGTGTTGCACTCCACGTTATCACGTTGAATGTTAGTAAAGCTGCTGCAAGTAGTTGGTTCTTTACACTGTAACCGAGTTCTTTACACGGGTATCTTACCCCTTTGCTTCAGCTTCTTGGCTCAGATGTAGCTAGCTTGGCTCCACGTCTTCACATCATGTTATGGTTTTAGTTTAACTCCAGAAGTTAAATTTTACCTGAGCGATGAGTCTTTGCAGACGGTGATTCCTAAATTGTTCTCCTGTGAGAGCTCTGAGTTTTGTCTTGTCTTGTTCTGTAGGTCCAGCATCCACAACAGTGTCCACAACAGGAAGTCCAACTGCCACAACAGGAAGTCCAACTGCCACCCATCAATGGTGGAGGAGAAGTTGTGAATCCTCACAGACTGTGGTCTGTTTGTTATGAAGTCCAGGATTGTTGGATAGTGAGGAGCTTAGTCCTAGTGTAAGTAGTTTGTCCATCATGGTTTGGGGGATCATGGTGTTGAAGGCAGATGTGAAGTCCACAAAGAGCATATGGACGTAGGAGTCTTTCAGCTCCAGGTGGGTGAGAGCAGCGTGGACCACAGAGGAGATGCGTCCTCTATTGATCGATTCTTGTGATATGCATACTGGTGTGGGTCCTCGCTGGTGTTGATGGTAGCTTTGATGTGGGCCACCTCTGCGTGCATGTGTGTGTGTGTCTGCATACCAAGTTTGTCATAAAGCTCTGACAGTTTTTTTATACAACTCTTGGGAAAGAATCATTGGGTAAACATCTCTGGTTAATTAACTTTAGACTTAGCCGGATTCAAACTGTTACGTGTTAGCCAGTTATATTGTGGCCCAACCAACAACAGCTGAGAGTCATCCCTAACTTATACTTTGAACTCTATCAAATTTGAGTACAGTAATACTGTATATATGTTTAAAATGTCGGCATGCGAGGCAATAAGAGGTGTGATTTTTCAAGAAATGCTCATTTTACAAATGCACACAAAGACAATGTTCTCAGTCTATTCAGATTTTCTCAGACTTTTGACAAGCTTGTCAATAATACAGTAACAACAGATTATACAAAGTACTAGCTATGGATGCACCTAGCAGCATCTGTGATCACACACCATTATGCTGAACAAATATGCTTCTCTTACTGTACCTTGGTGGGCTGAACAATCCCAAAAGAATTGGCTTCGGGGAGCTGGTGCAGTTGCAACTCAGTCCTGTTGATGAGACAGCAAAGTATTTTACAATGTAGTCAAGTAATATGTTGAAGTACAACACGAAGGAGTATTAAAGTATGAGACATTAAAAGAACAAACAAAAGTCAAATAAAATACAGACACACCATGAAACCATCAGCTCTACTGGGTCTCATTTTCAGCTCAAACCAAAGGTCAAGAAGAAAAATGAGTTTAAGCATGAAATTAAACGTCAACAGGAAATAATTCCAGGGATTTTAAATCAAAGTAAATGTAAAGTACAGTACAAAAAAAAACAATGCAGTATTATTCAGATTTTAAAGTACCACCAAAGTCATAATGAGTTACTAATGAGAATTAGTTTGGGTACTTTCCGATACTGAAAGTAGGTAATGAGTTAGTGATTAAACGTTACACAGTAACTTTAGTCTCCTGTTATTAACAGCAGACATTCTGCTGTTGTAACATCACCTGTGTTTATCTTACAATATCTCTAAACTATTAACTTTTTTGTGTGTGTCTTCGCTTACTTGCAAAGTGGAAGAGGAAATGACATCACATAAAAGTGCTATTGTCCCTAAGTATCTACCTGTATGTTACTCAATGACCAGAATTTTTTTTTTATTATTATTAAACCTGTTATTTTTCTGAATAATCGTCTGATATTCTGTCTCCATTAAACTGAAACTATCATAAAATTGAAAATTGTTTATTTCTTTATAAGCAAGAAAATTATAAATTAAACAGGAGATCAAATATTTTTCCCACCTTTGTATATTTTAGATGCATTTTGCATGTGGGGAAACATAATATGTTTATATCCACTATATTCTTGTAGATGTTACCTCATCTCAGTGCTGAGTCCAGCCAGCATCTGAGAGAAGACCAGGAAGTTGCTTTCTCCAGCTGTTTGCTGACACACTTTCCATTTGTCCAACATCATAGTCTGAATGACAGAGAGGCACAAACACTCAGAGAGAGATCAAAATAAAAGCCATGTGGATGCATGTGTGTGTAGTTGTATACCGTGTACCTGCAGATGTCCAGCAGCAGCCTGTCCAGCATGATTGAAGTCCAATGAAAAGACCATGGCGAATCGAGATGAAGCGTCACCGTGCTGCGAGCTCACACAGCCGAAAGACCTCAGGATGGTAAACATGGCCTGCACTCGCTCCACTGGGGGGGAGCATCACAAAAACAGTCAGCTTGTAAAGAGTCAACTCATTCTTTCAGCTGCTGTCCTCGAAAAAACGGACATTGTTCTCTTCAAAACTTTCTGACAATTTAACAGAAGTTAGAATAACGTGCCGTTATCATTAGTGTGCACCAGGTATGCACTGTGTGAGTACGTGTGTACCCAGTACGTACTGGGCTGTACTACATTTTGCTACTTTGAAGAATAAAAGTATGTTTTTAAACTAACTCACCACTTATACTCTGTCCAGCTGTGCCGGCTTGTTTAAGGAGCGCATGCGTGAAGGCTTGACATGCTGTAGTTTTGCCCGTCCCACTGCGTCCCACTGCACACACACTGTGGTCTCTCCTGGTGCCGACCATGGACAAATACACCCGTTTAACAAGAGCTGTCAGCGCTGGGGGGGCATCCCACACAGACTCCCCTCGCCGTGACTTGGGGGTCTGAAAAAAAGAACAATAAACAATAAAAGACACAAAGTTGTTGCAGGACTTGCAGCTTGTTACAGTCTAAATGAAATGCCTGTTTGTTCTGCAGGAAGTGCATCATTTTAGCGGTGTAACTAATTTAAAGGACATTGTGTTTAATTTGACCTTGCTGTGGGTCTGCAGGGGGGGCCACAGGCTGACCAGATTGGGTCCCGCAGACGTGAGTGGCATGTTGGCTTTAGCCCTGCTGATCAGTGTGTGCAGGACTCCACATTCATTCACGCTCTGAAGGTCGCTCAGGTCCTCACACAGGTCCAACGCTGACTCGTTACACTGGGGAGGGCGGGAGGGGGAACACTGACTGTTAAAGGGTCACTCCACATGTTCTTCAGAAAGCAGGAAGGTCACGCATGACTGGACAGCTACAAAGCCGGTTAACGATCTGTAGCCAGCTCAGTTAGAAATACTTCAATCATTTTCCACTTCAACACTTTTATTTCATGATGATGTTTGAGTTTGTTGAGCTCATTTAAAAACAACAACAGTGATCAAACAATTGGGAAAATCGAGCAATAATAATAATAATATTTATTATTATTATTATTATTACTATTATTATTATTATTGCTGTTGTTGTTGTTGTTGTTATTAGGCTTTAAAAATCTACAAGTATATTATTAAAGTGGGCTAAAAAATAACTTAAACAAGAAAATTTCACAACTTCAAACTTCTGATGAAATTCAAACCAAGCTTGAATTAAACGCAGGTGTGAACAAACAGTCCACGGACGTCCCCCCATCACTGAGGGCTTTGAAGAGTGAATGTTTACCCTTTTTAAGATGAGTTTTTTTCTGGACTGCATTTAAACAGGAAATGCAAGTGAACTTTAATGTTTTTGGTTCAAGATGTTCAAGTAGGTGGAACTTAAACTGTGTAGAAGAACAGAGGACATTTCTTTCTTGTCTGAGGCAGCACAGAGTGACGAATACTGGAGAGCAGAGGGAGCAATTTTATCTACAACTAGGCACAATCACTGAGCCAGGAGGTGGCCAAAGGTGGCCTTGGCCACCTCTGGCCACCTTTGGCCACCATAGATTAATATTCGGCCGCCCCAATAATTTGAGAAAACTATACTATTGAGCTAAATAACTGAACAGCATAGCTTCCTCAAATGATAGGGATCGCCAGTTTACATGGGGGTGTGGCAAGATGGCGCCTGTGTGTGGCTTCGCCGGCTTCAACCTGCTTGGATGAAGTTCATCATGCTCACCATCAGGTACCTCCTCGTCGTAAACGTTCATCTGATGTGAGCAACCTAATCTGTGTGCCGCTATTAGCGGATGTGGGAGCTGCTGAAATGCCATTGTTGCGCATGGCCCTCTTCAACGCGCGCTCTATCAGCAACAAGTCTTTTGTCTTGAATGAATTGATTACGAAGGAGTCCCTTGATTTCATGTTTTTAACTGAAACTTGGCAACGAAGCTTGGATCTCATTCATCTGCGGGAACTCTGTCCAGGTAACTGTGCTGTTCTTGCAACACCCCGTGAAGAGGTGGTGGACTAGCAGTCGTGTTCAAGGACTGTTTTTCCTGCAGAATCGTAAATCCAGCCCCATTCTCTACATTTGAGCAACAAATAATTAAAGTTGGCTCTTTGAAAATATTTTACTGTATTTTAGTTTATAGGCCTCTAGGTTCAGCTAGTGTATTTTTATCTGAATTCACTGATTTTTTTTGTCCTCCATTATTAAGTTGGAGAAAGTTATAATTTTGGGTGATTTTAATTTTCGCATTGATGATGTTACCTGTAAGGCAGTAGCAGACTTTATATCCATCACAGACTCTTTTCACTTTACTCAGCCTGTGAGTGTCCCCACTCATTATAAAGGTCATACATTGGACCTTGTTTTCTCTTTAGGCCTGGATGTGAAAGATGTTCGTGTGGAGGATATATTTTTAAGTGATCACAAATGTATTTATTTTAATGTGTCCTTCAGTCCTGATCCAACTCCTTCTTGCCTTTTGAGGCAGAGGCGGATTATCTCTGAACACACTTCTGATGCTTTTATTGCTCTATTTGATTCCGCCTCTTTGGATTATGACATCATGAATGGAGATTCAGTTGTTTCCTGTTTTAACACTCACTGTATGGAAATATTGAACATTATAGCGCCATTGAAACAAAGCACTGTCCAACGCACTAGCTGTCCGTGGATCAACAATGAAATCCTTAGTTTGAGGAGAACATGTCAGAAAACTCAACGTCTGTGGAAACTTACTGGATTGGTGGTTCATATACTACATCTTAAAGATCTGATCAGCTCTCTAAATGAGATGCTCAAGACTGCCAGAGCTCGTTATTTTACTAATATCATCAATTCCAAAGGACGTAATCCAAAATTTTTATTTGATACAATCAAGAACATTGTCTCTCCAGCATTCTCGTCTCAAAGTGCTTTTACGTATGCAGATTGCAATTGGTTTTTAAATTATTTTATTGATAAAGTTTCCAGCATTAGGGCCAGTATTTGTCCTTCATCTTCCCTTCTACTGGCTCCTTTGTCACTGACCCCTGGTAAGTGGTCCTTTTTTACCCCAGTCTCAATTAAGGACATCTCAGATTTAATGGGTCATATGACACTCTCATCGAGTCCCCTTAATGTCCTTCCTACGTCGCTTTTTAAAGATATTTTTACCTGTATTGGCCCCAGTGTTGTACAAGTGATAACTTCCTCTCTTTGTTCTGGCACTGTACCACACTATTTTAAAACTGCTATTGTCTGTCCTTTGCTAAAAAAGCCTAACTTGGATTCTTTGTTGCCTGAAAACTACAGACCTATCTCCAAACTTCCCTTTCTATCAAAGATCCTTGAGAAGGTTGTAGCACAACAATTAAACTGCTTCTTAGAGGTAAATGACATCATGGATTCTTTTCAATCTGGTTTTCGCAAATTGCACTCCACAGAAACAGCACTTTTAAAAGTTTCTAGTGACATATTGATGGCAGCTGATTCTGGAAACTACACTGTGTTGGTTTTATTGGACTTGACTTCAGCCTTTGACACAGTGGATCACACTGTTCTTATCAATAGACTAAGAGATCTATTTGGTATTTCTGGCACCGTTTTAAATTGGTTTATTTCTTATTTATCTGAAAGGTATTTTACTATTTTTATGAATAATGTTCACTCTGATGTTGCACAGCTGTCTTGTGGGGTACCCCAGGTTTCTGTTCTGGGTCCAGTCCTCTTTTTATTGTATTTACGCCCTTTAGGTTTTATTTTGAAACGTTACATTAATGTGTCCTACCATCTGTATGCTGATGATATTCAGCTATACTGTTCTTTTCGAGCCTCCGAATTCCATAAATTGACAGAACTCAGAAACTGTCTGTTAGAGATCAAAACATGGCTGAATGACAACTACCTGCAGTTAAATGCAAATAAAACTGACTCTTATTATTGCCCCTGATGATAAAATCTCAGTAATCAGGCAGTATCTTACATTTTTAAATCCTTCTGTAAATAATAATCTCAGAAATTTGGGTGTTGTCTTTGATAGTTCTTTATCTTTGGACAGTCATTGCAAATTGCTTGTTCGAAATTGTTTTTTCCACTTAAGAAACATTTCTAAACTACGAGGAATTGTATCACAGAAGGAACCTGAGATGATTGTTCATGCTTTTATTTAATCTCGGTTAGATTACTGTAATAGCATTTTAATGGGTCTGAACAAATCTTCCCTAGCTCGCCTTCAATCTGTGCAGAATGCTGCAGCGAGGCTGCTAACTAGAACCCACAGAAGAGCTCACATAACTCCTGTTCTGGCCTCCCTGCATTGGCTCCCCGTGCATTTCAGGAGTCATTTTAAAATTTTGGTCCTAACTTTTAGGGCACTTCATGGTCAGGCTCCCAAATATTTACTGAACCTTTTGAAGCCTCTATGTCCCTTCAGGACTTTGAGATCTTCAAATCAAATGTTGCTGATGGTACCAAGAACTTATTTTAAAACACGTGGAGACAGAGCATTCCAAGTGGTGGCCCCGAGGCTTTGGAACGCTCTCCCTCTGTCACTACGCTGCTTAGATTCCATTGACTCTTTCAAAAATGATCTTAAGACTTATTTATTCAGACTGGCTTTTATTTAAATTTTGTTGACTTTTACTTTGTGAAGCACTTTGTTGTTTACTTTTACTTTGTGAAGCACTTTGTGATGTCATTGTCTGTGAAAGATGCTATATAAATAAAGATTACTTACTTACTTACATATATATATGGTGGTGGACTACACAGGAAGACAATTCATTCAATCTTTATTTCTACAGGTTAGTCTCATTGAGCTTCGAGGACTCATTTACAAGAGAGAACTGTTTTAAACAAAGAACGCAGATGAGGTACAGACAACAATAGATAATCATATAAAAAGCATATAAATTGAAAAGTAAAGAGAATAATTGATATAAAAACAAACAAAAACAGCTACATTATAAAGCGATGTAAAATATTAAAAACAGGAACATATCTGTGTTGGTTTTTGCCATGAACTTACCAGTTGTTTAAAATCAATCAATAAATTCAATTTTATTTTCCATAACATCCATAACAATGAAATGGAGATTTGTCTTTGACATCTGGCTCAAAAACAACACAAGTTAAAAATGTCATAAAAACTTTTAAATTTGTAAAAAGTTTTGCTAACCCAATTAAAAACATTCTAAAATGCACAATACATTAAAATATGAAAATATTCCAGCAGACAGTGGTTTGTTATGTGAGGCTGCGTTTAAATAGGGCCTTGTTAAGTACATTCACCACAGAGGGAACAAATGACTTTTTGTACCCATTTTTCTTTGCTAAAGGAACCAGCAGTCTTCTGCCAGATGGTACAAACCTGAATAATGGTTGCAGTTTATGAGTTGGGTCATTGTAAACCTGGATTGATTTTAGTTCCAGAACCTGACTGTACAGGTCTTTAAGTTTCATTTGATGACCAATGACTTTGCTACCATGTTTGACCACTCAGTACAACTTGTTCCTGTCTCTAGCTAGGAGGTTTCCATGCCATGAGACAATATTACTTGAAACAACACTTTCAACCAGTGAGCTGTAAACCAACTGCAAAGTAATTTTGCTTGCATTAAAGATCCTTAGCTTATACAGAAGGTGGAGACGCTGTCTGGATTTTTTGTAAATATAGTCAGTGTTGGGCTGAGTTGTCAATTATTGTTCCAAGGTATTTGAATTCAGTCACCTGCTGTACCCCTAATCCCTTAGAAAGGTCAAGGTCGAGAGCTTCAGATCTTTTTGCAATGTGTTCCAGGAAACAAGAGCGGAG